AGAAAAATAATACTGAGGGCCTCCTAGTGAAAAATAACAAAACTTCTCAGACAAACATCACTTCAATCCAACTTCCTGGTGTAAACTATTTTTAACAGCTTTGTTTTGCTGTTATGATTTTTTTATTATGACTTAAGAATGTCTTGATGTATTCCTTATGTGGAACACTTACATCTGTGTATGTAAAGAATCTGCTTGGAATGCAGGAGACTTAGGTTCTGTCCTTGGGTTGGGAAGATACCCCGGAGGAGGGCATGGCAATCCACTCCAGTGTTCTTGCCTGGAGAATCCCCATGGATAGAGGAGCCTGGTGGGCCACAGTGCATAAGGTTGCAAAAAGTCGAACACAACTGAGTGACTAAACACAGCACATACTTAATTTACAATGTTATATTACTTTCAAGCATACAATTGATTTAATATTTTTACATTAAACTATTTTAATATTTTATATTAAAATAAATATTTTTATATTTAATATTTTGAAATATTTTTACACTTTAACCTCAATCCCTCCTATATCCTCAATTGATGGCACAAAAAGGTCAGCTTTCTGGCCATAGAGAGGAGTCGGTTTGCAACTTCTGACTGCATCCTGTTGCTGGCCAAAACATTGGCTTTCTCTACCCACCAAAGCAGAATAAAAAAAATACGAAGACAGAATTTGGAGGAAATAATAAGATGGCTTTAATTCTCAGCTGACAGAGAGGGGGAACACGGTAGGCTCATGCCTTAAGAACTTTGTCTGCCCCGCTTCCCATGAAAAATCTAGGGTTTTATATAAGATGAGGGGGTCTGTGATGAGGAACAAAGGTGTAAGAATCTTGTCTTCTTCCTCTTGCTTTGTTTCAAAAATAGTCATGGGCTGATGCCAGCTAGCCTCTGGCAGTCTGGTGGCCCAGTAGTTGGGTCCATTTCTTTTGTGAATTTCACTGAGGCCTTCTTTTTGATATGTAAGAAGAGAAAAACTACTGAGGGAGAGAGTGCTGAAAAGGTGAGCACCAGATACAGGATGTAATTAGCATAGAGTCAAAGGATAATAGGTTAGAAATGTACCTCATTCAAAGTTAGGGGCAGAAAAGCAAGCTTAGTTACAGACTACAGATTAGGAACAGTTTAAGTAAAAACCTGGAGAAGGAAATGGCAACCCACTCCAGTATTCTTGCCTGAAAAATTCTGTGGATGGAGGAGCCTGGTAGGCTACAGTCCATGGGGTCGCAAAGAGTTGGACACGACTAAGCGACTTCACTTTCTTTCTTTCTATAATTCCTTTTGGAGAAGGAAATGCAACCCACTCCAGTTTTTTTTGCCTGTAGAATCCCATGGACAGAGGGGCCTGGTGGGCTACAGTTTATGGGGTTGCAAACAGTAGGACACGACAAAGCAACTAACACACACACATACATACACACACTAAGTAAAAACTAGGAATGCTTAAGTGTGTTCACAGTTTTCTTTATCTTCTTTGTTCGCAGGAAAGGGAAAGAAAAACTTTCTTCTTTATTCCTTTTCACTGCAACAATCCTTACTAGAGTTGTCATCACAACTGTTTTGGGCTTCCCCGGTGGCACTAGTAGTAAAGAACACACCTGCTAATACAGGTGTGAGAGACACAGGTTTGATCCCTGGTTACAGTCCATAGGTTCGCAAAAGTAAGACAGGACTGAAGTGACTTAGCATGCACAACTGCATTTAAGAAAATTTCAGAAGATGGTGAAGGACAGGGAAGCCCGGCATGCTGCAGTCCATGTGGTCACAAAGAGTCAGACTTAGTGACTGAACTACAACACAATTGATCGGTCCCAGCAACTGCTGTCATAAAGTCACAGAAATACTCTCCTCTGGATTGGTAAACACCAAGGGTTGTCAACCGTAGAACTATTGACACTTGGACTGGATGATACTTTGTTTAGTGGGGAGCTGTCCTATGTATGTCCTATGTCCTATGTCCGAGAAAGAAGGAAACCTATCATTTGTGACAACATGTGTTGTGGAATCCGGAGCTGCAAAACACACCTCGGAGGACACTCAAGACAGTGGAGTACAGTTTATTACGCCAGCGGGTCCAAAGGGAATCAGTTCCCAACAAGGACCCTGATTTTTCTGACAGGCCCAGTTTTATACCCCCGACTATGTGACTGGTTACATGTTAGCAACCACTCTGTGGTATATGATTGAGTTTTACAACAAGTTGGTGCTAGGAGAATGAACAATTGAGGTTAAAGGTGGGGGGACAATGATTATACACCAAGGGGGGCTGTCTCCATGGTTAATCTAACAGGGGCAGCCTGACCTCAATCTCTGTTTGTCGTCTGTAGGGAGGGACGTCTCCAGGAGACCTGGGTTTCACTAGCAAAGGTTTCCTCACTTGTGGGCAGGGTTCAGGCCCAGGTCACATCCTGTCTTTAAGATGGATGACAGGCTTCAAGATGGAGTCTCTCCTGCTTTCCTCACACTGGCCCCAACACATGGACTTGTGCCCAGGGGGCATTATGTCAACTGAGACAAATCAGACAGAGGAGAAAACAAATATTGTCTGACTTAACTTATATGTGGGATCTACAAAAGCCAGACTCCTAGAGGCAGAGAGCAGAATGGTGGTTACCAGGAGCTGGGGGATGGGGGAATTGGGGAGATGTTCATCAAAGTGTACAAACTTCCAGTTATAAGATGAATAAGTTCTGGAGATCTAATGCACTATAATAATGTCAGCTAAAAAATACAGTCACAACCTGAGATCAGAGAACTGTTTTATTTGGTGGGAATGTTCAGGACTCTGAGCCGGGGAGACAACATCTCAGTAGCATTGAGAAAACTGCTCCAAGGTGGCAGGAGGGGAAGTCAGGCTATAAACAAGTAAGTTTGCAACAAAGTTAACAGGCAATCTGAACATCAAAGATCAGGTTTCAAGTTAAGAAATTTGGTATTCTAAGTATGGAAAGATGTAAGCCTCTGGGCTCACTGAATTCATTCCTTTCATATGCACCTCAGCTATCTGGGGTCGATCCTGTTTCCTTGCTCACACCCTTGCTTCTTGCATTCCCCCAGCTTCTCAGCAATCACCTTGGGAGCTTGGAGGGTGGCAGCATCTGCTGAATTGCAGTTTTGGGAGCCCTCGTTCACATTTAGAGGCCAGAAATCACTGATGGCTATGACATTTCTTATTTATTAATATGGCAGGAGATATTTTCATCTCACATGTTTAGAGTCAATAATGCTGTATTATTATATACCTCAGAGTTGCTAAGAGAGTAGATCTTAAACGCCCTCACCACAGAAAAGAAATAATTATGTGATGTGACAGAGGCATTAGCTAACACCACAATGGTAGTCATACTGCAATATACATGTGTATCAAACCAACATGCTATTTAAAAGAAAGAAAAATTTAAGAAATCCAACAAAATACAAACCAACATGTGTACATCATTGACACAATGTTATATGTCAATTATATCTTAATTTTTTTGATGGAAAGAAAAGAAAAAATAAGAAAATATTCCGTATCCTGAAAAAACAATTTGTTTAAAAGAAGCAAACCTAAAAAAAAAAAAGAAAGAAAGAAAAAGAAATAAAAGAAGCAAACCTGAGCCTAGCTTTCCTGAACCAAATTCCCAAATACCCAAGTTAGGTGCTAATTTTCAGAATTAATACATTTGTAAATTTTCATGTTCTAATTACAAATATGCTTAATTTTTAAAGAAAAATTTTAAGAACCTGAATTTAGTGCTACTCTATTCATTCAATTTGTTAATGCTTGAAATTGAAACAGATACAATTATATATCCTTAGATAATCTCTGCTGCTGCTGCTGCTAAGTCACTTCAGTCGTGTCCGACTCTGTGCGACTCCATAGACGGCAGCCCATCAGGCTTCCCGGTCCCTGGGATTTTCCAGGCAAGAACACCAGAGTGGGTTGCCATTTCCTTCTCCAATGCACGCAAGTTAAAAGTGAAAGTGAAGTCACTTAGCTGTGCCTGACTCTTAGCGACCACATGGATTGCAGCCTACCAGGTTCCTCCGTCCTTGGGATTTTCCAGGCAACAGTACTGGAGTGGGGTGCCAAGATAATCTCTAGTTTATGCTTTTAAAAAATTCCTGAGCATTAAGTAATAGCAATGAATTTTGAGTTTAAAACCCAAAATCTTTGTCCTGAATGTATTATTGACAAATTGAGCCCATTAAATAAACCTGTTCCTTTGATTCAAAAAGGCAGTGGTCTACTTAAGAACTGTTTTATTATTTTCTATACAGAGTAGACATACATGTACTAGTAGCTAAAATAAAAGCTTATCAAAACAAAGATAAGAAAGACCAGAATCTAGTCTTCCTTGGCTGATTTTTAGGATATTTTCCATGGAAGAAGCACATACTTTCTCAGTGAGAATCAAGTTCCTGGTCCCAATCTGGTCCCTTGGAGGGTTCCATTGTCCCTAACAAGCAGCCCCTTTCAACTGCACCCTGAACACAAGTCCACCTGATGACACTTACCCTGCCCACGTGGCTACTTGCAAAACACTTTTCTGCCTACGCTTCTGAGTTTGGCTTGAAAGAGAAGCTATGGTGAGGCAGGTGGCTTTACGTGAATATATAACAAAATACAGGCTTCTGCAGTGGTGCTAGTGGTAAAGAACCTGCCTGCTAATGCAGGAGATGTAAAAGATGCAAGTTTGATCCCTGGGTCAGGAAAATTCTCTGGAGGAGGGCACGGCAACCTACTCCAGTATTCTTGCCTGGAGAATCCCTTGGACAGAGGAGCCTGGAAGGCTACCATCCATAGGGTCGCACAGAATGGGGCACAACTGAAGCGACTTAGTATAGCACTTAACAAAATACTTTATAGAGATATCAAACTCTAACTCATTCTTTCTATTGTGCAAGACTCAGAACAGAGACCTTTTTCTCTCTTCCTTAACTTTTTATCCAAGCAGTTTCATCTTGAAATCTTCTGTTTTTTAATGAATTATACTCAACTTATATTTTACTGGTTGCAGGTGTATAGCATAGTGAAACACAACAAAGGAATTTGTCAACAAAAAGAAAGGTAACCTACTGAATGGGAGAATACATTTGCGAGAAGATTTTGTCATAACAGCCTGACCTGGAAGATGTCCTAAAGCAAACCTCTAAAACGAGGTAAGAGGAGATTGATGGGTGAAGACAGGTTGAGAAGGGGTTGATTTTTTATAATAGCGGAAGCCCAGGGTCTCCTGTTGAGTAGAAATGCTGAAATCTAATAGGGGCACCCATAAGGTGATGGCTGGGTAGCAGGCTTGGAGCAGAACCTACTCCGAAGGGCACTTCCACCTCATCTCAGCCTTGAAGGACCCAGCTACCCATCACAGGACTTGGACAAAGAGGAGTCCAACTGCGGTCCAAAATGCCTGTCCCCTACTATCCGTAACTGCAGCAACAGTCCTTTCTTGACCCTCATGAAAGGGAAGGAATTCTCCCAAACCTGAATGAGATTGGGGAGATAAAGCTCACAACCAGACTTGATTTGATTCTGAACAAATAAGAAAATGGACAGTTCTTAGACCCAAGGGTTATGTGGCAAGTTCATTGTCTCTACATGCACCCTGCCTCACCTGCTTCAGCTGCTTGCAGGGGAGAATCCTTAAACAAATAAATCTCAGCAAAAGTTGCTGCTTAAAATGGGTGTCTGTATGGGCTTTCAGATTAAACAGTGTTATACTTTCATTATTTGTTTTTTTAATGTATTTATTTATTTTAATGGAAGGATAATTGATTTACAGAATGTTGTTGCTTTCTGCCAAATATCAATATGAATCAGCCATTCATTATTTGTTTATAGGATAAGTAGAATGGGACTCATGCAATTTAAACTTTGAAATTCCCATTTTACATTAGATAGAAACTGGATCCAAAGAGAGCTGAGAGCTGTTTAGCTATAAGAACCACAGGGGAGGGCTGGTTTGGAACATACATCCTGAAAGAAGACATCGTCTGGTATAAGTCTTAAGGGGAGAATCGGCTCTGACCTCATCAGTGATACAGGGCAGATGAGCAAGCCCCCTGACATGGAGATGCAAATACAAACAGCAGGTAAGAAGCCTGATGTAAGGTTGAGCCTGTAGACAGTAGGAGGAAGGAAGGTTTCAAGTGTGGTCTTTAAGAGACATTTTTCCCTTTAGAATTGGCTTCTGCTATATACTGGATTCCTGAATGCTAATTTGAGACATCGTAGGATTATATGCATAGATTTTTCCAAATGCCTGAGATAATTCAATTCTACAAACACTTTTTAGGTGTCTACTGTGTACAATGCTCTGTGCTAGCCACCTGAGAGACGTATAAATGTGAAAAGGATAGTCCCATTCTTTCTTCAGGAGCTCACGATTTAATGGGAGAGATGGACACAAACAGAAATCAGTCTAATGCAAGAAAGAATATGTCATATTTTAAAGAAATTCTACTCGCTTACATCCGCTGAGAGCTTTCTTTGAACCCAGCACTAATCTAGTATGACATTTTAAGGTATATTCTATTATTATCCCTACTTTACAGGTGAGGGAACCGAAGTCCAGAGAGGTTAACAAACTTGCCCAAGATCACATGATTGGGAAGAGTAGATCCAGAATTTGAAATCCAGAGACATTGACCCCAGAACTCACGCTCCTAAATTCCAGGGTGAAATACAAATACCGAATGACACTAGGAGGAGAAAGAGGTGAAGTTATCCATAAAGGAGAGAAGAGACCAGGAACCAATAAAAACTTCCAGAGGCTCTAACTTACTAGGAGAACAGGGAAAATAGACAAACTATGTATGAACTCACTTTTTTAATTGGAGTATCATTGCTGCACAATGTTGTATTAGTCACTGCTCTACAACAAAGTGAATCAGCTATATGTACACACATATCCCCTCCCTCTTGAAGTTCTCTCCTTCCCCCATCCCACCTCTCTAGGTCATCACAGAATACCGAGTTGAACTCCCCGTGATTATACAGCAGCTTCCCACTAGCTATCTGTTTTATACATGGTAGCATATATATGTCAGTCCCAATCTCCCAGTTCATCCCATGCCTCCTCCCCACACCACATCCACATGTACTTTCTCTACATCTGCATCTCTATTCCTGGCCTGCAAATAGGTTCATCAGTACCATTTTTCTAGATTCCATATATCTGTGTTACTATACAATGTTTGTCTTTCTGTCTGACTTATTTCACCCTTGATGGACTCTAGGTGCATACACATCACTACAAATGACCCAATTTTGCAAACAAATTGCTTTTACTCATTTTTACTCTAAATATATCAAAAGGCCAGCTTTTCAAAGAACAGAAAAAGCCGTTCTTTAATTATTATGGGAACCATAATTTTTTCCATGTATTTGTCTACTAAGAAAATGCACAGCATGAGACTTGCAAGTTAAGTTTTACTGGGGGCCAGATGAGGACTGCAGCCCTGGAGATAGCACCTCAGATAGCTCTGAGAGATTTCTCCACCGAGGCAGTGGGAGAAGGTCAACATATAAGAGTTTGGTGAAGAGGGAGTTCAGTGCTATTAAGCACTTCCTTTGGAAAAGGTTTTCTGCTAGTCATGAGGAGCTGATATCATCATCAATGGATTTAGTGATTTTCTAGATATGAAGAGATACAAGAATTGGGATCATGAAATCTGTTCCTGAAAATATCTGTCTAAAGATCTGTTCTACCAAAATGGGCACTTTGCAGTTTTTCTCATTATAAAATGTATATTTCTTCTTCTTCATCATGATTGAATGTACACCATACTGTCATGTATACAATGATAGAGAAACTTGGCTAGAATGTAAGCAAACAAGAAAATACAGTGAAGAAATGAAGACCTCTAGTAACAGAGTCTTGGAATTCAACATCCCATTGTCTGCTTTAGGTAGACCAGCTCTCATTCTGGAGTTTCAGAAGCTGGGCATGTCCAGGCTTACCAGAGAAATCTGTGCCAGTGTGGGCCCTGCAATTTTCTTCCTCCAGGACCTGCGTGTTTATGATTAAACTCACTCCACATTTGTCTTTCATGGGGGCTGAGTTTTCAGTTACAATAATAATTCCAAGGCCAAGGTACAGAGTTATTAGCTATTGATTGTGCTATCTTAAACAGTTGAGTAATTTCCCTTGGGCCTAGCAGGTGAGTGGTTGCTTTCCTGATTGAGGTCAGTGAAGGAACCGCCTGATAAGCAGGCATCTGAGATAAGGATGGTTGCTCACTGGAGTACGTCACTTCTGGGGCAGAGCCTCCTGAGGACCTACAGACTTTCTGGCATCAGAAAACCTCAGCAGTCAAGAGTCCAGCACCCAGAGAAACCATTCACGCTACTAAGGGGTCCTTGGGACTGGGCTCTGTATGGCTGTGTACTTTGGGGTTCACACAACTGAGAATTAAGCCATGATTGCCAATTTGGGAGTAAGCAGTGAGCTGTGACTTGAGGTGACTCAAGGTCACTATGCAAGTGATGGCACCCCAAAGCAGAGGACACTGAGCTGGTGGACTGGCTCAGGGTCATCAACAATAGTGTGACAGCTGAGGGCCATTCTTCTCCACTTCTGAGAAGGGGGTCTAGACCCTCAAGAAGACTCAGTTCAACTGAACACTGTCTAAAGAGCAAAAGATCATTATCAGCATACATACTCACACACACTCAGAAGTCAGGAAAGATGGCCTCTGCCAGCATGATTCACAATCTTGAGATGGGAAGACCATCCCAGGTTATGGGAGTGGGTGCTAAATGCTATCACAAGAAGCACAAATGCTTCTTCTCCTTATAAGAGAAGCAGAGGAAGCGTTCCACACATGAAGGAGAGGTGATGTGAAGACAGGGGCTGAGATGAGAGTGATGTGGCCCCAAGCCAAGGAATGCCAGCAGACACCATCAGAATCCCACCAGCATCTAGGAGAGGCAGGAACAGGTTCTCTCCTAGAGCCTCCAGAGCAAGCACGCTCCTGTGAACACTTTCATTTTGGTCCAGTGACATGGATCTCGGACTTGCGGCCATCAGAAGTGTGAGAAAACAAATTCCTAATATTTTCAGTTCCCCAAGTTGTGACAATTTGCTATAACAGCCACAGTAAACTAATATAGATTATTATCTAATACAAATGCTTTCACCTACACACACAAGTGACTGCAGCCATGAAATTAAAAGATGCTTGCTCTTTGGAAGAAAAGCTATAGCAAACCTACAAAAAGCAGAGACGTCACTTTGTCAACAAAGGTCCATATAGTCAAATCTATGGTTTTTCCACTAGTCATGTACAGAAGTGAGAGATGAACCATAAAGAAGGCTGAGTGCTGAAGAATTGATGCTTTGGAACTGCGGTGTTGGAGAAGACTCTTGAGACTCCCTTGGACAGCAAGAAGATCAAATCAATAAATCCTAAAGGAAATCAGTCCTGAATATTATTGGAAGAACGGATGCTGAAGCTGAAGCACCAATACTTTGGCTACCTGATGCAAAAAATCAAGTCATTGGAAGAGACCCTGATATTGGGAAAGATTGAAAGCAAGGGGAGAAGGGGATGACAGAGGATTAGAGGGTTGGATGACATCACTGACTCAGTGGACATGAGTTTGAGAAAACTCTGGGAGATGTCGAAGGATAGGGAAGCTTGGTGTGCTGCAGTCCATGGGGTCGCAAAGAGTCAGACATGACTTAGCAACTCAACAACAGCAACACACACAAAGCCTGGTTTCAGAAAGAAACTGGACTAATACGTCATAGTTGGGAATAGTATGGCCCTGGCATGGTGGTTGAATGTGCTCCTAAGCATATCACCCAGAAACCACGGTGCTTCTTGTTTGCAGTAAAGATGAACATGGTGAAGGAGTGAGCGTGTGTGTTGTGTCATGGGGATTTTACAAACAGAGCCCTCCAAATATGCCTGAAGGCATTTTTGCTTGCCATCGACTTGTTAATGTTTTCACCTCCTAAAATATTTTTAGTTGTTTCCTTTAGTAGTTTTTAAACATTTAGTGCTGACCCCCTAGTACAGCACTTTAGTGTGTATGTGCATTGTACATTTTGAATTATTTCTTCTCATCTGTGTACTGTATTTAAGATTATCGGGAATTTTAGGAGATGGAAGGAAACGGAAGAGTTTTGCAAGCTCAGCGTATCTGTTTTACATCC